TTGGTCCCTGGTTGGCGGTGCTGCTGGCTGTTGAGAGTGCTAAATTCCATAAGATTTAATCCACTGATGGGATCATAGCTGAATGGACTCTTAGCAGGTAGGGCCTTTTTGTTTGTTTGGTTGGTTTGGCTTTTCGAGACAGGGTTTCTCTGTGTAGCTTTGGAGCCTTTCCTGGAACTCACTCTGTAGACCAGGCTGTCCTCGAACTCACAGAGATCAGCCTGGCTCTGCCTCCTGAGTGCTGGGATTGCCGCCACTGCCGCCACCCCGGCAAGTAGGGACTTTTTGAAGGGTGTATCTTTGTAGATCAGGCTGGCCTTGAACTCACAGAGATCCGCCTGCCTCTGCCTCCCAAGTGCTGGGATTAAAGGCGTGTGCCACCACCGCCCGGCCTTGAAGGGTGTATCTTATCCTCACGCACTCACGCAGTCTCAGTCCCCACTTTCTGTCTGAAGGGAGCAGCTCTGCCACAGGAAGCCTCTTACCAAGGCGTTCAGCTTCCTCTGAGTCCCAAAACGATGGAGCCAGCCAACCTTGAATTCTGAAACCTTTGAAACTGAGCCAAAACAAGTTCTTCCTTTCTTTCCGTTTTTTTTCTTTTTCTTTTTCTTTTTTTTTTAATTTCTATCTTGCATGTGTGTGGTGTATTGTGTGCACAGAAGCATGCAAGTGCCATGGTGTGCATGTGAAGGTCACAGGACAAGTTAGGAGAGCCCGTTCTCTCCCTCCATCATACGGGTCCCAGGGACTGAACTCAGGTCATCAGGCTTGATGCAAACACACCTTCAGCGTTAAGTCATCTTCCCGCCCAGGCTTGTTTCTGTTGTTTTGAATCTATTTCAGTATTTTATCACAGCGACTAACAGGGGGCGCTTCTGGAGATCCGCTCAAATCCCGGTCCCGTCTCTTTTTGTTGTTGATGTTTGTTGGTTTTTTCTGGTTTTTCAAGACAGGGTTTCTCTATGTAGCCTTGGCTGTCTCTTTAGAACAGGCTGGCCTCAAACTCAGAGATCCTCTTGCCTCTGCCTCCTGAGTGCTGGGACCAAAGGTGTGAGCCACTAAACCCCCAATCCGTCTTTTTTTTTTTTAAACTTTATGTGTATGGGTGTTATTTTTTTGTTGTTGTTGTTGTTGTTTCTGCATATATGTCATGCAAGTGTGTGTGTGGTCCTCTGAAGAGCAGCCAGTGCTCTTAACCACTGAGCCATCTCTCCAGCCTCCTAGTCCTGCCTTGGAAACACTATGCTGCCTCCAAGCATGTGCAGCTGGCTCTGTTCACATTTGACCTCTGTGATAAGGAAGGAAACCCAGGAATTCACACTGCATCTTAAGGGCCAGGGATTGAGACAAGGTCTTGCTATGTACCTCAGGTTGGTTTTGTAGCTCATGTTGGCACTGAACTTGAAGCAATTCTTCTGTCTCAGCCTTCTGCATGCTGGAATTGCAGGCTCTCACCAGCACACATGGCCGGCACTGCATTTTAAATCAGAGGAACTAGAGTCCGAGAGGAACCTGGGCTGGGAAGTCATGACAGCCTACTTCATTTTCTAGGTCCAGGGCTAATGAAAACACAGGATCCCCTTTGTGAAAAGTGTTAAGAATTTAAGCCAGGCAATGATAGTGCAGAGGCAGGCGGCTCTCTGAGTTTGAGGTCAGCCTAGTTTAGAGTGAGTTCCAGGACAGCCAGGACTACACAGAGAAACCCTGTCCTGGAAAAATAAATAAGTAGAAGATAGATAGATAGATAGATAGATAGATAGATAGATAGATAGATAGATAGATAGATAGATGTACTAAGAGCTTCACAGGTGGGCTGGAGAGATGGCTCAGAGGTTAAGAGCATTTGCTGCTCTTCCAGCGGTCCTGAGTTCAATTCCCAGCAGCCACATTGTAGCTCACAACCATCTATATTTCAATCTGGTGCCCTCTTCTGGCATGTAGGCAGAATACTGTATACATAATAAATAAATCTTTAAAAAAAGAACTTCATGGGCAGGTGTAGATAAATGGTCTTAAGAAACACAGAAACAATTGCAGAGTTAAAAGCCAAGAGGTCATAGCTAGAAACCTTACCCTTCACTGGTGCTGTCTTTCCTCTCAGCAAAGAGACCTACTTCCTGTCTGTCTGTCTTTTTTATAGAGTTTCTGTCCTACCTTCTCATTGGTTGTAAACCCAACCACATGCCCTCCTAGTCACTGCCTGTCTGTACAGACCTCCAGGTCTTCTATGGTTGGTATTGAGATTAAAGGCGTGTGTCTCCATGCTGGCTGTATCCTTGAACACAAAGATCTACCTAGCTCTGCCTACCAAGTGCTGAGATTAAAGGTGTGCACCACCACCACCCAGCTTTTGCTACGGGCTTGCTAATAGCTCTGGCCCCCGGACAACTTTATTTATTAACATACAAATCACATTTTAGTACAAATAAAATATCACCATAGGCAGGGTGCAGTTTGGGATAGAGTGCTGTCCAGTGTGCATGAATGAGGTATGACTTCCATCAGCCCTTAGGAGGCCAGTCTGGTCTCCATAGTGAGCTCCAGGACAGATAGGGCTGCATAGTAAGACTCTGATCCCCCTTTCTCCCCCTGCCCCCCAAAAAGAAAAAAGATGTCTATAGGAGAAAATCAACCAAAACCACGGCCTTCTCAGCACAGGCTCTGGTCATTTCCTGTGTAGGTTGCCCCGCCTCAACCCAGAGCTTAGAATGGACACTCTACAGCTCCTGAGCTCGCCAGGCCTTGGCCCGAGTCTCTCTGAGGCTCCGTTTCCTCCTCTGGCACCGGTCTTCCTTCCAGGATGACTTTCCCAGAATCTTAGTCTCCTTTGCCCATCACCCCACCCTGACTACAGAAGAAGGGTGACCAGTGACTCAGCTCCTACGGGGGTGCAGGGGTGCCCCCCCCGCCCCCATCCCCATCCCCCCCCCCCCCCCCCCCCCCCCCCCCCCCCCCCCCCCCCCCCCCCCCCCCCCCCCCCCCCCCCCCCCGTCAAGCTAGTCCTTGGGCTGTGACTCATCCCATCCTGTGTGTCCTGGGGCCACAGCTGGAAGGCAGCTGTTGGGGTCAAGGGTGACCCACGAGGAGGGCAGTCGACTGGGGAGCCAGAACAAGAACTGCTTGTGACAGGCTGACTCAGGCAAGCGAGGCAAGGTGGGGGATGGGAAGTTGCTTTTGTGCTCTCCCCAGCCTTGGTCTTCCATGGTTAAGCAGGCAGAGCAAATAAAAACACAAAACCACCAGTGAAATTTCAGTTTCGGTTGCACAGTGGATAATTTCAAGTGTGTCTCAAACGCTGCATGGGACACGCTGTGTTATTGTCATTATTTTTATTTTTGTGCATGAGACATATCTACACTAAAGGAAATTTACCTTTAGAGTCTGGGTGGTGGTGGTGCATGCCTTTGATCCCAGCACTCAGAAGGCAGAGGTAGGTGGATCTCTGTGAACTTGGGGCCAGCCTGGTCTCCATATGGAGTTCTGGGCCAGTCAAGGCTACACAGTGAGACCCTGTGTATACAAACAAATAAACCTGGAATTCCATTAACTGGGCATTCTGTATTTTATCTGGCACATCAAGGTCCTGCGGATTGGAGGAGCTCCCATACTGGTATAGCCATGGCCCTTCGGAACAGAGCAGAGACTGCGGAAAACCCTGAAGGGACTATTGAAAAACCAGGGAGAGGCTGGGGGGAAGGGGAGGGTCACAGGTGGGAGAGCCCCACATCCCTTACCCAACCAAGCAGCTCTGGGCTGGCCCTCAGAAAGCAGGGCAGTGTGAGGTGTGACTTTACTGGGGACACCTTCACTTCCATCACAACGCAGCATGGCCTGTCACCCACACAGCCTCACTTCAGCACAGGTCTGGCATCTGGACATCAGGCTGGAAACTTACAGGATGTGTTAATACTGACAGAATCAGGACCTCATATGCACTTGATATGGAAACATCCAGTCTCTATTTATAAATTCTGACCAGGAAAGGGAAAGACAAAAAAAAAAAAAAAAAAAGCAGAAGCCAGAAAGGAAAGATTGATCAATAGATTTCAGATGATGTAACAGCACAAAACACGAGTAACAGGCTGGGAGGGAATGTCTGCAAACTATGTAATATCCAGTATATATAAGCACATACATAGTATAGTACAAGAGAAAATGTAGGAAAACAAATTTAGGTCAGTGATTTCTGGGTAGACCAGATTGTAAGTGGGGCTCACCCAAACAGTGGAAGGCCTGAATCATTCAAAAGATGGCCTGGCTGGGAGGTGGTGGCTCACACCTTTAATCCCAGCACTTGGGAGGCAGAGACAGGCAGCTCTCTGTGAGTTCGAGGCCAGCCTGCTCTACAGAGCTAGTTCCAGGACAGCCAGGGCTACACAGAGAAACCCTGTCTCAACAAAACAAAAACAAAAAGATGGCCTGGACTTGATTCTACCATCTGCTTTCCTGGGTCTGGAACTTCCAGTCTCTGAAGATTTAAGATGGGGACTGGAGATGTGGCTCAGAGGTAGAGGACTTACCTGGTCTCCCCATCACTCACTCCAAGAACATAAAATAAAACTCAGAGGCTAAGGAGACGGCTCAGTGGGTCAAGTCCTCGCTCTGCAAGTGTGAGCCCTAAGGTGGAGCTGTGCACCTCAGAAGCAGTGAAGCAGGAGGGGGAGACAGGTAGCTTCCAGTGGCCCATTGGCCAGCCCGTCTGGCTGAAATGACTGCTTACTGGTTCTGTGGGTGACATCTCAAAAGATTAGGTAGAGCTGAACACAGTGCCACATGCCTTTAATCCTAACACTTGTGAGGCAGAGGGAGGTGGATGGATCTATGTGAATTAGAGGCCAGACTGATCTAACTAAGTAAATTCAAAGGTAGCTAGGACTACACAGCGAGACCCCGATCTTTAAAAAAAAAAGATGAGGATGGGGAGAATGAGAATCTTCTCAAAATTTCACTGTGGAAGAGGAATGCAATCATGATACACACAAAAATGAATATTCATTAGGCAGTGGTGGCACACACCTTTAATCCCAGCACTCGGGAGGCAGAGGCAGGTGGATCTCTGTAAATTTGAGGCCAGCCTGGCCTACAGAGGGAGACCCAGGACAGGCACCAAAGCTACACAGCAAAACCCTGTCTCAAAAAACAAACAAACAAAAAGAAATAGGTTTTTCGTAGCCCCAGAATATAATTTTCCATTTTCCATTTTCTTATGAGGCAGTCCTGGGCCTGGGATGCAGCTCAGTTGATAGCGTTTGCCTAGCATGCACAAGGCTCTGGGTTAAATCCCAGCACCACAGAAACTAATCATGGCTGCCAAGTTCCAGCTCTTGGAAGGTAGGGGAAGGGAAATGAGACGGCCTGGCTCATCCTCAGCTACATATCAAGTCGGAGGCTAGTCTGGAACACAGGCGACCCCTGACTCAGGGCTGCAATGTTGCTGGAGCTGGCTTCCAAGCCCTGGTTAAAGTAACTCCCCTACCTGAGCATGAAGTGTAAGCTATAGTCTGGGGATACTAGAAGGGACGCCTATACGAATGTCATCGGGGTGCAGAATTACCCTAGATTCTCCTGAGTGGCCTCCCAGTCAAGCTCTTTGCTCCACGTGGGGGACCTATCTTTCACACAAACAACCGCCTTTCCTCGGGCCTGTCCTCTTCCTAGCCAGACGCCTCTGGAGGCGTCTCTGTCTGGCCGGGGCCCTTTAGCACTCAGCAGCCTGACTCTTGTTTATGGCTAGTCTGTTCTGCTGCTGAAATCTATTTACCCACCGTGGCAATTCCTGGAAGGTGAGGGCAGCTGAAACTAGGAAGCGTCTTCCACCTTGACAAGTCACCAGCCCACGCCACATGCCCTCACCTTGAATGTGACTTTCAACCCTTGCTCGAGGCTATACTTCCCATCTAGTTTCCTAGCCTCTTCCTAAGCACCTAAGGCCCGCCTAACCAGCCTCTTAAAAGTCTTCCAGATTCAGCTCTGTGTGGCGCTATCTCTTGGCTAGTTCAACATCGATCTACATCTCTCCTTCCCCCACCTTGAGCCAATCTCCTGCCTCCTCCCTACACACATCCATAGCGCCTGGTACTCGCCCTTGAACGTTTATTAGGTTTAGTCTAAGCTAGTCTCCCAGCCAAACCTAGGGATTGTTTATCTTCACCCTCATAACCATCTAGCTTGTTCCGAGTCCCGGCTGCCTAGAGTGAAAAGACAAGGAATGTGCAACTGTCCCGATCCAGAAGCGGACGCTATCCTGTAAACGACCTTGAACACGCGCCCTGGAGGCAGCCCTCTTAACTGTCGGTGGCCTTAGGCACGCGAAGCTCCATCTCCAGAACACCCCGCCAGGCGCCGCCAGGACCCGGGGGGTGGGGGTGGGAAGCAGCCCAACCAGCAAGCACTGCTCCGGGGGAGGCGGGCCATAGTGTCATATGATTGTCTAGTCACATGATCCCTAGAAATGGGGTGTGGGGAGAGAGAGGCAAGGGAGGAGGAGTGAGAATTGAGTAGAAAAGAAACACAGCATTCCTGGAGAGTCCCGCCTCTATGTAGACAAGTAACCAATGGAAGCCCTGGATCCCCGACCCTCGGCTAATGGAAACTGAGGTGGGCGGGCCATCGCGCGGCCAAACCCTAGTCCAGGAGCTGACCGCCAGATGCCTCCCAGGGAGCGCGGACCCCGAAGCAGGTAGGAGGACCCGTTGCAGACATCTCCCCGGCTACTGTCCAGAGGCCTGGCCAGGCTGCTATACAATTGAGTCTGCCCTGGAGTCTCAGCTCAGAGACAAGAGAAGACCTGCCTCTTGAAAATCCCCTAGGGTTTTCTGATGCACTAACGAGGGTTTCTTTCTTTTCATTTGGGAGGAGTGGGAGCAGTTGTAGACACCCCCAATAAAAGGCTCCCCTTGCCCATCATGTCGGGAGGCCGAAGGCCTTTCTCCAGAGCAGGAACCACCCCACTCTAGGGCCAGCTTTACTCTGTCTGTGCCTCCCACCTGTCTCCAGGTCCTGGCTCTTTCTCATTCTGGTGCAGGCGACTGGTCTCCGCGGTGGCTTGCGGTGGGTGGGGATCTCCTGCCCTTGGTCCCAGAGCTCAGAGGGATTGGGAGCAGGACCTGGGCGTGGTGGCCGAATCCCTGGCTTGTGTCAACCGTACTTCCTTCTGGAGGGTGAGAGAGCTAACTTCCGCCTCTCCCCGCCACTTTTCCCTGCTCCGCAGCTCGATTGGCTCACCTTTTGGGAAATTCATCTCCCCTTGACACTCGGAGTTGGGGGGTGCCACCTAGTGGAAGATTTCGAAGCTAGGGCCTTGAACGGCTCCTGTCCTTTGGCTGTTACAACAGCGTGGTGTAGAGGTGGCCAGGGGGTCACCACTCCCTAATCCTAATGAGGGGAGTTAGGACTCCCCTACCCCATTCTAATCTGGCCAGGAGACGACCTCTGGGATATTCTTTGAGTTAGGGGAGAGCGCACTTGAAAACTAGAGAAGGAAACGGGGGGGGGGGGGGGGTTGGGGGGTTGGGGGCGGCGGCGAACAGATCTGTGTAGCCCAGGCTGGCCTCATTTTCACCCTGTAGCCCAAGTTGGCCCGGAACTTGCAATCCGCCCACCTCAGCCTCTCAAGTGCTGGAATCAAAGACAGCCTAACGTGCCTGGCGGAAGCTTTGAGGTCTGGGCGGTTGGGATTTCTCGCCCTCTATGGCCACCAGGGTTCACACAGAGATTGATGAACTGAGACACAGGGAACAATTTCTGAGGCCCTCCGCAATCAATCAGTGGCACTTCCAGGACTAGTACTCAAGTGCAGATGCTACACAGCTCCTATACCCACCCTATTTTTTTCCCTTTTCTTTCTTTTTTTGAGACAGGGTCCCTCTGTGTAGCCCTGGCTGCCCTGGAACTCACTCTGTAGCCCAGGCTGGCCTCGAGCTCACAGAGACACGCCTGCTTCTGCCTCCCGAGTGCTGGGATTAAAGGCGTGCGCCGCCGCCGCCGCCGCCGCCGCCGCCGCCACCACCCAGCTGTACCCAGCCTATTTCTATCCTGCATAGGTCACCTGCGGGGGACATAGATACTCTGCCCCTTCCCCCTGTTTATACCTCTGGCCACTGAGACTTAGTGTCCATTCCCTGGCAATGTCCAGGGATGTCAGTTGACTTATGGACCCAGGTCCAGTATCCTCAGTCCGTTTTCCCTGACTTGATTCTTGGGCATGGATTTGAAAAGTGAAAGTAATATTATGATTACTGCTTTGCATAATTGTTGCAGAGAGATACAGCGTGTCTCCCCAGAGGGTCTTTGAATATTGCTGTTTTTGCTGCCCCAGGCAGGGTAGCCTTACTCTTGGTTGCTGGGTAGGCCTGCTGAGCTGGGAAGAGGCTTATTAGGGAAGTGAGAGGCTCAGTTCCTCCTGCTGAGGCACAGGGGCACTTGCAGCTGAGTTTCGATTTCTGAGTAGGGAGAAACAGGTGGGATGTTCGAGGAGTCCAAAGGGGCCCCGGTGATGGCCCCTTTTTTTGGGGGGAGAGGCTGTTAATGCTGGGGAGGGGTCATTATGAAGTTAGCTTTGAGGCTAATCCAGCTCTGTGTGCCCGTCCCCTGGGAGGGGAGGGGACAGTTGTGGGCAGGCAGTGGCTGGCCTGTGGGGACGGCAGCCCAGACACCTCTGGCCACTGTAGTTCCGTTTTCACAACTTTCTCACCCCCTTGGTTTCCCGTATGATCATGTGACTGACAACTGTTTCCCCAAAGGCCTTTGGAAGGTACATGTGGGAGTTGGCACCAGGCAGGAAGGTGAGGCTGGCCGTCCTGCGGCCGCTGAAGTCTCCTCTGCCTCCCAGGTAGCTCAGGGGCTCAGATCAAAGCCACACGCCTTCCTGACTGTCACAACTCCGCTCCCCTCCACTCACCCCTAGTGTCAGGTGTTAGGCCGTGTGTGCGGACATGAATCAACACTTGTGTTTCTGCCAGCATTCATGCTCACAGTGTGTGCAAGCTGGTGCAGGTGTGCCGCACGCAGGGCGGGACACGCTGACTCCGGCAGCGCATCGACTTGCCTTCCTGTTCACTTGTTGAGAGGATTCAGTAAATCCGATGCATGTCATGCCTTGGCCTGGGCACAGGGAAGTGCATGGCCTCAGAATAGAAGGTGGCATAGGCTTAAGATGGCTGCCAGACTTCCCTTGGCATTTGCAGGCAGATCATGTGGATCCTGGTAAGCTGGCTGGCCTTGGTGGCAGGACTGGTGGCTGGAACACAGTGTCCAGATGGTCAGCTCTGCTCTATTGCCTGCTGCCCGGACCCGGGAGGAGCCAAATACAGCTGCTGCAACCCTCTCCTGGTGAGTGTCTCACACCCCAGCTGGCAGCCTGAGCCTTCTGAAGGGCTACCTTGGGTTGGCCAGAGGAGGGCTGGCACAGATACTCTGGTTTATGTCATCTCTTCTTTCCAGGAAACATTGCCTGTAGTAATGAGCCATCCTCTAAGTGGTTCCTGTCAGAGCCATAGCCACTGTCCTTCTGGCTACTCGTGTCTCGTCACTGTGTCCGGGACTTCCAGTTGCTGCCCCTTTCCTCAGGTGAGGGTGCTATTGCCCCGAGGGGGCGGTGCTTAAGGTCTGCACTGACCGCTTTCCTTCACTCTCCTAGTTCCAGGCAAAAGGGTCTTGCTCACACAGGCTTCTCTGTGTCCCACAGGGTATATCTTGTGGTGATGGCTACAACTGCTGCCCCCCGGGCTTCCACTGTAGTTCAAATGGGACAGCCTGCTTCCGAAAACCAGGTGCTGTGGGGCACGGGACGGGGGCATTGTGTGGTACCTGAAATGCCCAGGAGCCCAGCTGCCTGGGTAGTCCTGAATCCTTTTCTGCTCTGAACAGAGGGGCAGTTCTGAGAGCAGAAGGGGACAGACAAGGATGCAGAATTTCAGGTGTTGTGGGACCTGGAGAGGCCGGCCACGCTGGGGTGATTTCTCACCCGCCCACTTTCACTGGGTGCCTCTATCATCTCTCTGAAGTGGGGTCTAGCTTGTGGGAAGGGTGGCTTGGGATCTTGGGTGATCACATAAGCCCTGGTCCCAGCTGTTAGACCTACTGTAGTTGAGTCTGCAGTTCCTTTAGTGATGGTGCTGGGAGTGACCTTTACTGACTGGATTGGTGGAATCCTGGATTCTCCCATCTGCAGGTAACTCCGTGGGTGCTATCCAGTGTCCAGATAGCAAATTCGAATGTCCCGACTCCTCTACCTGCTGCATTATGATTGATGGTTCCTGGGGATGCTGCCCCATTCCCCAGGTACAGGTGTGGGGAAGTGGGGGTGACTCACGGGTAGTGGGGATAGAGCTGGGAGCTGGGGCTGAAGAAGATGGATTATGGACCATCTATCTCTTCTCAGGCCTCTTGCTGTGAAGACAGAGTACATTGCTGTCCCCAAGGGTCCACCTGTGACCTGGCTCATACACGATGCATCAGTTCTGTGGGCACCCACGAGCTATTAAGGAAATTCCCTGCACAAAGGACCAACAGGGCAGGTGAGGAGGTGGGAGGCCATCCAGCTAGCACATTTAACTCCTGGCTGGAAAGAAGTTCCCCTCCGTCCTGGCAGCTCCTGCCTCATGCCTCATTCCTCTTTCAGTGGATTGGCATGAGTCCGTGGTGTGTCCGGATGCACAGACCCAGTGCCCCGATGATTCTACCTGCTGCGAGCTGCCCACTGGGAAGTATGGCTGCTGTCCAATGCCTAACGTGAGTAAAGGGCTGGAGCCAACTGGGCCACCGGACATATCCTTACAAGGGGGCTCCAGGAACGGGGCTGATTGCTGGGCGCCTCAGGGTCCATGCTGCCCCCTGGTGGGAGATTGGGGTAGTGTCAGTCATCAGCTTGGCTTTGCTCCCTGTGCTCACTAGAGACTGGAATCCAGAGACCCCTATTTGTCCCGACCTAGGCTATCTGCTGTTCCGACCATCTGCACTGCTGTCCCCACGACACGGTATGTGACCTGATCCAGAGTAAGTGCCTAGCCAAGGACTACACCACGGACTTCCTGACCAGGCTGCATGGATATCCAGGTACAGGGGCAGACTGGACTCCATTTCATCTGCTCAATAAAGGGGGACTCGGCTCAGGTCCGGAAACGGGGGTGGGGGCGGGTGTCGATGGCTGCGTGGAGGGACCTGGCAAGTGTATCTATCCCCTCCCCACGGGTGTTGCTTGAGGTTCACTGTGGGTTGACATAGCTAAGCACTCCATCTTCAACACCGGGTTCCGTTGTTGATGACGTGTCTTCTGCCTACAGTGATAGAGGTGAAGTGCGACACGGAGGTGAGCTGCCCGGATGGATACACTTGCTGCCACCTCACCACTGGGGCCTGGGGCTGCTGTCCTTTCACCAAGGTACCCGGGAGCAGCGGGCACATGGGTCCCAGCAGAGGGGGCAGCCAGCTTGGCTCCAGTGCTTTTCGGCCTTTTCTCTGTCCACCGTAGGCCGTGTGCTGTGACGACCATGTCCACTGCTGCCCGACAGGGTTCGAGTGTCACACAGAGACGGGCACCTGTGAAATGGGAGCCCTCCACCTACCCTGGATGAAGAAGATCACAGCCTTTCCCAGCCTGCCACACCCACAAGTCTTCACGAGTGATGTCCCCTGTGACGACTTCACCACCTGCCCTCCTGGCAATACCTGCTGTAGACTCAGTTCTGGGGACTGGGGCTGTTGTCCTGTCCCAGAGGTACAAGGATAGGGGGTCAGCAGTGTAGGGGTGGGGAGAGCATCTTGACCTTGGCGGGTGGGTGGCAGGAGTCCTGTTCTTTGTCCACATTCCGCCTAGTCCAGGGTGGTCCCCTGGGCTGTGGTCTGTCCCCAGCTGGAGGAGCTGTGGGCAGGCCTCCCAGAGTCCCTTGGTAGAACACTCTTCTCTGCCCACACCCCTAGGCTGTCTGCTGCTTAGACCATGAACACTGCTGCCCGCACGGCTTCACGTGTACAACTGAGGGGTACTGTCAAGATGGAGACAGAATAGTGGCTAGCCTGGAGAAGATACCCGCCCACCACACATCCGTGTCCCTAAGTGACGATAACAGTTGTGACCAGCACATCAGCTGTCCAATAGGGCAGACCTGCTGCCCTAGCCTGAAGGAAGGCTGGGCCTGCTGCCAGTTACCCCATGTGAGTTTCCACCCACTGCCCTGGGAGAAGGGGGCTGTGTTCTTGGGCTAAGCAGGGTGATGCCCTTTCACTGCTCCTAGGCCGTGTGCTGTGAGGATCACCAACATTGCTGCCCGGCTGGGTACACCTGCAACGTGAAGGCCAGAACCTGTGAGAAGGAGGTGGACTCCATCCAGCCTGCTGCCCCCCTGACCCTTGGACCTCACATTGGGAATGTGGAGTGTGGGGACGAGCATTTCTGCCACGATGACCAGACCTGTTGTAGAAACCACGTAGGAGAGTGGGCCTGCTGTCCCTACCTAAAGGTCAGTGCTGTCCCTGACCC